GAACTGTAGCGATGCTATTTTCGGTAGGAAACTTCATGCACAAGTGGTGGACTGAGGTGACCGCCCATAGTTCTTTTAAGGCGGGTCGTCCAAGTACTCCATGATAGGCGGATCGGTTATCCACCACAAGGAATTCCAAAAAATGGCGAGCGATCTAGGGTTCTACCTTTATCTCCATTGCTAGGGTGATCCTGCACCAGAGGATAATACTATCCCTTGTGAATCCATACAAGGGAGAGCTTACAGGGGTAAGCTCGTGGTCGACTTTCATCTTGTCAAAGGTGGTACCAAACAAGATATTTCAGGCCGTTGCGGGCCACGACGACCCTTATCACTAAGGCATCACAGTGAGGATAATGTACACCCATTGTGTCCTCTTGAGTAAAAGGGATTGGAGGTGAGACCCCCCCTCCTGCAGATTGATTTACTATGTAACTTGTCATAGCGGGGTTGATCGCCTCCCTGGCATAATTCTTCTAGGAGTTCCTAGACTCTCCGTCCACGTGAAGACTACCAATGATCATATTGATCTCTCAGATGGGCTCATGTTTGTTTCTTGGGGGGTATCGTCGTTGTCTCTAACCCTCCCTAGGTTCCTCAATATCATTATCTCTTCCTCGTGGAGGGTCGGTCTTGTTAGGTCGACGTTGCTCATCGTTCCGAAGCTGTGTGTTTTGCCTATTGGGAACATTTCTGGGAGGAAATCTTGCAGCATCCCGACAGTCCTCTGTTCGATGTCCATTGGACTAGTGATATGAACAATATTGTGATGCCTCGTTCCTATTTCTAGGATCGACACCTTGTCCCCTTTGTAGATTTCTTGGGTTGGGCTAAGGCATGCGCATTCCAGCGCTAGGGTTGCCTTCTTCGTAGACGAGGGTAGGTACTGCATTGAGTTTTGCAGCAGCAAGTTCTTGTCCATGATTCATTGATGCCTGATTATCCATCAAGTGAGAGGTGGGACCTCTCCTTCTTCTCATTTGTGGAGGCGGTAAACCCTGGCTAGCCCTATTCCTATGATCTTTCAGCTCCTCATTCAGGATTTCGCGCCTTATCATCTCTAACAGCGCATCATAGGTGGCGAGGTCCTTATTTTGCATGTCTCTCCAGAAAATAGAGTTCATGTCTAGGCCTCCTCTTAGGACAGTCAGGGCTTCCTTATCCGTGACTTGCACACAATATGTCATTTCATCGGTAAATCGCGAAGTAAAACTTTTCAGCGACTCACCTTGTTGTTNTTTCATCGGTAAATCGCGAAGTAAAACTTTTCAGCGACGCACCTTGTTGTTGCCTCATATCTTGCAACCTTTGGTTGGGTCTTTCCCCCTCTTTGCTGGTTGGAAAGCGTTTCAAGAAAGTTTTCTTGAACTCTGACCAACTTCGAATGCTCCCCTCTGGTAGCCTGGCATGCCAAAGTTCTGCCCCTCCACTTAGGGTTAAGTGGAAGGCCCTGCATTTCATCATTGGAGTAGCCCCCTTCAGATTCATATGTGTCTTGTAATTGTCCATATGTTTGGCGGGGTCACCTCCCCATCGTACTTTTGGATTTTCGGGAGTATGAAGTGGCTTAACATGGGTGCACTCCTTATGGCCTCGGAGAAAAAAGAATTCTCATTATCATCATCGAGGTCGCAAGACCTTTGAGGCCCATCCGGGTTCTCTTCTTCCCTTGGATTGATCAGGGGAGGTCGTTGGGAAGTTCCTGCTTCACTCCTGGCTTGTTCCCGCCTTTCGCGCCTATTTCTAGGGGGACAAACAGGAGGTACCTCATCGTCATACCTATTGCTAGGTGCCTGAGGTGGGTTGGCTCGCCTATTTCTAGGCATTCATGGACTTATCCTGTCGAAGACGCTTCCGGACCTTTGAGGCCTATCTTCCTGCAGCCTTTCTGAGGCTTGATTGTTTGACGAATCCATTTCGTCTTCGTCTTCCTGAAGGGCTTCCATCTCGTAATGGCGATGTCCTGCCATTTGACTCTGGACCTCCTCTTCCTCGTGGTAATAGGCTTGGGAGTTTGGGAATACGTCTTCGGGAGCCGTATGTTGAGGAGCTTGATAGCCTCCTTGTTCTTGCATGTGCATCAACATTTAATACATGACTTGGTTCTGCTGAGTGATGTTCCTCATGCTGGCAGCCATTGTTGCAATTTCTCTAGTTAACCTGGCTGCAACTCCACCTCCGCCCCTGGGACCTCCTCTTTTGCGCATTGGAGGTTGGTTGGGCTGCCGGGACAGCTCGTGAGGGTTCTCCTTCTTCAGGGCATTCCCTCATCCTTCTAGGGGCATTTTCGTCAGTAGAACTCATTTTTTGGTTACGTGATGTACGACTTGGTTCCCTTCTTCAAGGGGTTTCAAGTTCTTGCCGATTCCTTTTTGCAAGGATATTCCTTTTTCAAGGATGAGAAACTCTCTTGGAAACGTATCTTTTTCTTTTTACACACGTATTTCGTGGTTAAATGTTAGAATTCCCATAGACGGCGCCAATTTGTTGACCCCAAAAATTGAACTCAATAAATACCAGGCCCACTCTTGCTACGTCAGTACTGATCCGGCACGTTTCTTCCAGAATGGGAACAGAGATTTGATTATTATGAACGTGAGAGGCACTTTCCGGCGAGAGACACAAATGTTCGGACTCCGGCAATCGAGTTTGAGAAACACTCGCGCTATCAATGAATGCTTGATCCGTTTAACTAAATTACTCCTTTCGTATTGGAATATGTGGAAGGATAGATATGAGAATGTATTGTTTATTCTTTTGATAACAAAGTCTATTCTTTCTTGTGTAGTGGTAAAATAAAGCTAAGTGTATAAAGATGTTCTTTATTTCTTCATCGCCTCCCCTTTTTAGTACAAAGGGAGGTTATTTATACTAACCTAACCGACGTGGTGATCGTTCAATCACATTCATGTGGCAACATCTCCTAGACCAAAGACTTACATCACTGTCCATTCATTGTATTCAATGTTTGACAAAGGGTCAGCTATGCTAGTAATAGGCTGACACACTGACATATTAAAAGCTACAGACACTTTATTACAGCTGTCCCATCAATTAGTTCTATGAGAATCTTCCAATATGTAGGGAGGCAGCATCGGCAATAGTGTGATGAGGTCAGCTTCGGNCAGACACTTTATTACAGACGTCCCAATCAATCAGTTCTATGAGAATCTTCCAATCTGTTGGGAGGCAGCGTCGGCATTAGTGTGTTGAGGTCAGCTTCGGACATCTGGTGCAGTTGAGTTTCGGTACTTCAGTACTTCGGACGTGAGGAGCCTCTGCATCACTTGGGAGGGCTTTAAGCAGACCTTCAATATTTGAGCTGAAGGGGACATCGGATAAGCACAGTTTCGGCAATGCACGTCTTCGGACAATGGCCTCCTCTGTCCTCCTTGACCTTGTTGAACCCCCCGTTAACTTTTCAACTGGCTCTACTTTCACTTGATTATAAGAAACGCTTGGAAGTCCACGTGAAGTGCTGACCTGGAGCCTCTGATTTTTGGGGGTAACAGGCAACATTGAATAAACGGAAATTATAGCATGGCATGAAAAATCCTTATTTCTTAGTGAATTATTCTTATCATCTGATAAGTGTGTTTTTACATACTTATTTTACTATCAAAACATGAGCAATTGTTGATTAAAATGTTCGAATATAGCTTAATTCTATGCAATTTATGTTTTGTAGGACAAAGTGATGAATGTAGCGAAATTGAGGTGAACCAAGCGAAAAAGGACCAAACTGGAAGAAAGTGAAAGTTCAGGGACTAAGGTGCAAATACTACAA